AGTATCTTGTCACGCCTGTAACAAGACAATCTTAATAAAGGATCACTGGCAAGACTGCCAAAGTTGAAAAAAAAAAAAAAAAAAATAGTTTTTTCTTATAAAAATGTTCTGTAAAAGACTTGTAAAAAGCATTATCCACTACCTTAAGTCTAATTAATTAATAAAACAAGGCCTCTTTGTCTTGAATTTCTTCTAATAAAGACCTAAACCCACTTTATAACTGAATATTTCAGTTATAATAAAACTAAAAAAAAAATAAAAATTAAAATAAAAAATTTTTTACTAAATTTTAGTATAAACTATATTTTGCCTAATTTTAACTACAGTTTTAATTTAACTCTAATTAAAGGTTTTATTTTTTATAAAAACAAAATTTGTTTTGATTTATATATTACACCAATTTTGTATTTAGATATAAAGTAATACTATAGCATTATAATAATATTTTCAAACAATTTAATAATATAAATAAAATCTATTTTCTATAATATATTAGTTTTGATTTTTACTTTTTTTTCATTTTTTTATTATTCACTTTTCTATTTTTTTTTTATAAAAAAGTATTATCAGTTTGATGATATTCTATTTTAGAGCAGGAATCTTAACAGTATATACTGTATAATAGCCCAATTTTAACTCTTTCTAATGATCACTTGACACCAAAACAGTTTGAAGATTCAAGGCTCTAAAAAGTTCAAAGATATCTGAGGTTCCTTATTGGTATTGTTATCAACGAAGACTTATATATGAAACACCAAGGAATGGACATATATAGTTGGTTTGTGCTCTGAGTCAAGCTTTTCTTCTTGGTAAACTCCTTCACATATTCGGCATCCAAGCCAAAAGGGTTATTTTAGTAACAGTAGTGGTGAAAAACTTCTGACTCAAGTGTCTAAAGCTTTTTAGTTCTATAAAGAACAACTGAAAACACTTTCATTGTCTTGAGCTCTTACAAATACAATATTTTTTCTCTTCAATACTTTTGGCTATAACTTTTAACAAAAAGTGGGAAATTCAGCATACTCGCTCCAAAAAATTAACAATATTTATCATTTCTATATCAGAAAACTCTACATGATAACAAACAACATATGTAAAATAGATGGTTTCAGCGAATTTAGTAACTAGATGAGTGTTTGGAAGAATACTTTACATGTTGTGTTATTAAAAACATACAAACATGTGATCATTAGATAAAGCATATGGAGATTTCAAAATTCTTATACTTTCGGATGAAGATATAAATTTAATTGAAAGAGTAAAACAAAGTGAAAAAAGATATATAGGCATCCTCTAGTTACTTGTATATAATTTTTATTTTTTAGCATAAGTTATAATGCATTTTATTTTAATTTTAAATTTCTTGTCAAGTTTCTTGCACTTAATAGTAGATTGTGACTCTGTATAATTAGAAGTTTTTGTTTGATTAGCAGATTTTCTTTTTTTTAGCAATAGTTTCTTTTAGGTTTTAGTTTAGTTTTTTTATATTCTTTAATATTAGTATCCATTTTCTTTAATGTATTAGTTTTTATTATATATATTTTTTTTTGTTCCCTATTATCTTTTTTTTTTTTTCTTTTCTATAAGAAAGTATCATCAATTTGGCAACATTCTATTATAAAATGGGAATCTTGACAGGATAGAGCAATAGCCAGCCAAGGAATCTGAAGAAAATTCAGAATAAGTTCTAGATCTTTAAAGAAGAACAATCATTTGCTAGGCAAGTCGCATCTGGACAAAACACAGTGGTTTAATATTTACCCTGACCGCAAGTAAATGTTACAACATCTGCGAGATATACCATGAATGAGTTTATATTTTGGTTGGAACACTTATAAATTTAGATTTCTTATACCGATATAAGGATGAAAGTCTGTTCCTATAATAAAGTAAATAGAATTGCCAAAAGAAAAAAAAAGTATATAATAACCAGCTAAAGAATTTGAGTAAAATAAGTTTAAAGTAAGTATTGAATCTTAAAGGAAGCCAATTGTTGCTAGACAGATCACATCTGGACATAATACTTTGGTTTTGGTTCACTTTAATTATAATATAAAATGTTAGAATAAGTTTAATTTTTGGTTAAGATATTAAAAATTGTATTTACTTGTTTAGATTAATTAATTTTTTTTTAAAATAAAATTAAACAGAATTGTCTTGAAAAAAAAATATATTGTTTTTTAATAGAATAAAAAAAATCAATATACTATTTTTAATAAAGTTTTTAAAAAAATTTTTTTAAAATATACTACTATAACAAAGTATATAAAAAAAAAATTTAAAATTTGGATTTGTTTTTAAAACTCTATTAAAACAGTATTCAAATATATACAAATGGATCTCGATATAAGAAAAAAGGTTGGGTTTATAGTAAAAAAATTACAAAACTTATATCGAGAGTTTGTTAATAACTTTCTTATATCGAGTGAATTTATTATAAACTATATTTGGTTTTATTGTTTTTTATTATATCGAGAGTTATTTGTATTTTTAACTCTATCAAAATCGGTATTGCTATCAGGAATAGTGTTTGTGCCACTTTATTTTACTTTTAATAAAAATTTTTTAAAATAAAAACTTAACAAAAGATTTAAATATTATTTTTGTAAAATTTTGCAATCTATTGTATATAAAAAAATAAATCTACAAACTTTGTAAAGATTGTATTTTTTTTATTAATAACTTTTAAAACCTTTTGTTAGTTTCGTGTATAGTATGTATATAATTTAGCAACTTACTAAAATAAATATAGATATAGATATACAATATATACAGTATAAAACTTAACACATTATAATTAATAATCAATAAAAAAAACTTAATAATACAGAAATAACTTTAAGCATAGAACTAGCAACATATTTTCATGCAAAAAAATCTTTTATTTACACTTTGCATATCGTGTATTTTTGCAAAAAGGCCAAATGATTATTAAAAATTATCATTAATAAATAAATAAATAAATAAATCAAAAGGTGCAAAATATGGATTTTTTAAAATTTCCTTTTTTTTTTTTAAAAAAAAAAAAAATTAATTTTTTACAATATATAACAGAATAACGAGCTTAAATGATTGATTTTTTTGTGATAGTAGCAATAACGATAACCTTTTAAATTGGTGCGTAGTTTGGTGGTTTTTTTTGATTTGATTCTTTTTCTTTTTTTTTTTTTTTTTTTTTTTGAGTTGACAAAACTGTATATGGGAAAAATTGTATTAACATTTCTTCTACGCAAAATAAAATCGCGCAGAAAAGGAATGAGAAGAAAAAAATGCTAAAAAAAAATGTACAAAAAGAAAATTAAAAGAAAATATTTACTCGGGTATTAAAGGAATAACGATAAGATATAAAAACGAAAGACACAAACAACATCATAACAACCTTTTGCGATGTAAAGGCCAGATAATGACATGCTTCGCTAAGCAGAAAATTTTGTCATAAAAATTATCATAATATCTTATGGTACAAAAAAAGTCATATGGAAAATTGAAAAAGAGATTATTGGAATAATGCATAGATCGGAGAAATTCCGATAAGAAAAAAAGAATAAATCGTAAAGACAAGTAAACGTTCACGTAAGAAAGTGTAGAAAATTATGATGAGCATACACACACAAAACATGAGAATAAAAAGGGAAAAAGTACGGTACAAGAAAATCCAATTTCGGAAGAGAATAAAGGTGGATTTGCATGTTTCATCTTACGAAATGATTCTTAAACACAAATAAGCATCTACAAGAATGAAATTAATAAGAGAAAAAGGAAAAAAAAAGGATGAAAGAAGATTTGAAAGGTGTAAAATCATATATTCGTAATTATTATTGGACACGCGAGACTATAATGTTGATCCACCAAAGTAATAAAATAAAGGGGAACATAATCAAAACCTACCAAAAAGTTTTTCTTGACAATACTGATAATAAATGTTAAAAATCATTTTTTTTTTCCCTGTTCTTTTGAATTTTTTTTCATTCTAATAACAGAACGAACGTTTATCCAACAACAGTACTACTTCCATTTGTTGCCACAACATTTGTCTGATTTGGAGAATGAGGATGAGATGATGGCCATACATTTACATTAATATTATGGGGCAAAGCAGGACGTGTTCTGGTCTTTAACAGTTCACATAAATCATCATATACACGATCAGTATCTTCTTCATTACTAGAATAACCAGGTCTTCCAGAATTATTATTATAAGAACCACGGATGTTACGATCAGCAGAAGAAGAAGGTGGAGAGGGACTGGAATGAGAATTAGTACTTCGATAATCAGGTCTAAAATAAGGATCAACGGAGGAATCAGTATTTGGACCAGGAGGTAAAATCAGACCAGAGCCTCTCTGTGAAGATTCATTAAGACCGGAAGCAGAACGATTTGTTGTAGAACTTCCCGAAGAAGAAGAACTAGGAGAAAAAGGATAGGAACCAGGACGGTCGTCATTCATATTATACATAGAATTTGAAGAACTTTCTTTACGACCATCTTTATGCCTAAGCCAAGGTTCTTCACCAAGACCTTGAGAATCATCATCTCTCGCCGAACTTCCATAATGCGAATAAGTAGAATTTGAACTAGCCGAATTATTATTTCCACCAAAAGATTGACGTCCTTCATCATCACTTAACTCTTCGCCTTTATATTTAGCGAGTTCACTACGTAAATTTCGAATGATTTGAGCCATTTCTTGTTTTTCTTTAAGTAAAGCATCGAATTGCTTTTTTATATTATCTAAACTTTTTGCTTTTGCCTCCAAATCTTTGATATACCTATCCTTACGTTGACGAAAAGCACGTTGAGCAGCTCTATTTTGGGCAGCACGTTTAGAATTAGTCAAGGTCCGGCTTTGATTTCTACCCGTAGGCATATTAGAGACATTTGAAGAGATATCGACATGTTGGACAGGTTGATTCTGAGGAGGAGGAAGAGCGGGAACGCCAGTAGGAGGTTGTTGAACACCAAAGGAGGAAAGAGAAGAAATATTAGGAACATCCATCATTGAGCGTTGAGTTTTAGTTTTATCATCTAGTACATGCACTGGTTGTTCCATAATAAAAAGAGGGAAGTGTGTAAATAAGTGTAAGTTTAAATGAAGATGTATAAAAAAATTGAGATAAAATAATGATGAAAAATAATGATGACAAGTAATTATGACAAGTAATGATGGCAAGTAATGATGACAAATAATGATGGCAAGTAATGATAACAAGTAATGATGACAAGTAATGATGACAAATAATGATGACAAGTAATAATGAATAGTGGCAAAAAGAAAAGTATACACAAGAAAAGTATACACAAGAAAAAGATAAACGAATTAAAAAAAGGTAGACAAATAGAATAGTTCAGAATGATAAATAAATAAATAACAATTGTTTGGCCCCAAAGAGATGAAACTTTTTACGGACAAGATGGACACTTCATCACATCGATCATACCAAAGTTGGATTGTTTTTAAAATTCATATTTTTCTTACTGATTATGATACATGCAAGATTTTTTTTTGCATAAAAATCAGATGCAAGTAGACAAAGCCACAACAAATACATATAAAGAAAAACCAAACAGCTGACCCCAAAAAAATAGGAAATGTGATTAAAAAAAAAAATTAAAAAAAAAATAAAACAAAAACAAAAAAAAAAAATCCAAAAAAAATAAAATAAAAAATAAAATAATAATAATATAATAGCGAAATAAGAAAAATAATGAAATAAGAAATACCTGAACCGTTCGTAGACGGGTAGCCCGAACCAAAAGGCATGTTAGTAGATCCTGGAGGAAAAATTTGCGAGTTGAGACGTTGCTTATCAGGTGAAGGCCACTGAGGATTAGCAGTTGCCATTGAATTCGGCTGTTGTAAAGTTTGAGACGCCATCTGTTGTTGGTGCGACTGTGGGTGGTCATTTATGGACGGAGTGTTAGGATGGAGATAGTAGGGTCCATTAGTTGTACCACTGTTTGTAGTAGTACTGTTATTATGAAGAGTTGGAGAAAACGACGTCCTGTACATAGGTTGTGTGTGTGCGTGCGTGTGTTGTGTGTACACTGAATTATAAGACATTTCGACGTTTGTAGAGAAACAAGTAACGGTTCGATAAATAAATTATAAATAATCGTAGAGAGAAAAAAAAAACAAAGAATGTAGCTTTCAAAGTCGAAAAATGAAAATACGAAAGGACGATTTATTTTTTTCGAACGTCATAAAGATCGCGAACGTTTTATATGCAGGAAAAAAAAAAAAAAAAAAAATTTTTTTTACCAGTATAAAAAATCAATTATCAATCAATGAGCAGATGAGAGGAATTTATAAAATCTTACATAATATAATCAATAAATAGAGTTTGAGTTTGCAAAGACCAACATTGAGCGGTCGCGTGAGAACTTAACGGAGCTTTAACGGTCGGGGCATCAATTTGCAGAATTTTCAGGTACATACTTTCCCATATGAGGGTACCATTTTAAAATCGAAATAAATAAATGCATATATGGAAAGAATCATTCTGTACGGTCTGTACGGTCACAAGCCTGCCATTAGAAAATATATATAAATACATACATACATATTTATCATTACAGCATTAGGTAATTTATTCATAATTTATTCATAGTAAGCGTCATAATAAATATAAATGCTAGCTAGTCTTTAAAAAACATTGTTTTTTTATTCTATTAATTTTATTACGCATTAAAATTTTTTAGGAACAATAGGCTCATTGTTTATAATAAGAACAAAGAGAAATGATAATGCAGTTTTTTGATGCTCTCTAGCTGTTGTAAATCTGCGCACATACATTTATGTTGAACGGGCATCATTGATAAGCATTATATACGATCATTACTTTAAACTGTATGCCCAATGCTCAAAGGTGCCGATCTCTGATATGTCTGATATGTACAGATAAACTTGTTTCATTAACATAACGAAATGCAAAATGCCAAAGTGGCAAATATATCAGATATATACTTTGTGGCTCATGCGTTTTAAATTATTCGGAAATCTTATCGCATATTTAGATTTACGAAAACATGAGATCGTCTTACATCGTAACGGTGATTGCTAATTTAACTAAACGGGTAAAAATCTTTAAATTTGAAGATTCTCCACTTCATTGTTTTATTACTAATTCATGTAGAATTTCACAAGCTCCATCAATATTAATCAATATTACATGAGAATCTCATTCTTAATCATGCCATTTATATATTATTGAAGACAGATCTGTCAGCAATGCGCAAAATTACGTATTGCTTTAAACAACCACGATCCGGAAATTTTTTTATACTGCCGAAGATCTTAAATCCGAAAAAAGCTAAGCCCGTTCACTTCTGGTTTGCGTTAGTGTAAAGAATGTCATGCAAGATTATCATTATTCGAAAAAAAAATGAAAAAAAAATCCCTCATTCAGAGTGTTTTTACATGAAACTAATCGTATTATATGTATTATATGTATTATATAAGTGTTTGATAATGTAACAAACAAATAAAAAAACTAGTGCCAAGATACTTATACGTACACGTACGTACGTACGTACTTATGTTTAAAGTTATTTGTAAGAAATTTAATACCTAATCAATTTTATTTTTCGAATAAAAAAAAAATCTTTAATTATATATTTAGATTTTTCAAAAAAACCGAAGGTATTCGTATATATAAGTTATATATATAATGCATTTGTAACTCTAATATAAATTAATACCAAATATATATTGTATATATTATATACTTGGCAAAATTATCTATATATTTATTTAAATATAATTTTATTAAACTATATACTGTATATATTGTATATTTAAAAAATATACATACAGTATATTTATATTTGCATTTGAATAATTTAATTTTTAACTATATATATTAACATCTATATACTGTATAATTTTAAATATTAGTTTATATACAGTATAAATTATTAGATTTTTATTATACAGTATACTACAGTATATATTATTTATTTATTTATACTGTATAATTTAGTTTTACAGTAAATATATGGGGTTGAGTCAATAGAAATCAAGCAAATTTTTTCTAAGTAAATTTTTTTTAAACTTTAAACAACAATAACTCAACAAAAACTTAATTAAATTTAATAAAAATTTTTTAAATAAATTCTACAAACTTATAGAATTTGTTTAAAAAAATTTTTATTAAATTTGATTAAGTTTTGGTTAAATTATTGGTATATAAAGTTTTAAAAAAATTTAATAAAAACAATTTGCTTGATTTCTATTGACTCACCCCCATATATATAGAAATAAGATAATAAAAAAAAATAATTTACAAAAATTTTATTAAATTTAATTAAATTTTTTATTAAATTATTTTTGTTTAAAGATTTAAAAAAATATTATTATATTGTAAATTTTAATAGTAATCTATAGTACTATACAGTATAAGCTAATTTTATAATACTTTATAAAATTAGCTAATATATTAAAATATATTATATAGTATACTGTATATAGGATTAAATAGCAAAAATATAAATAAATATTATAATATTGCATTATTAATGTTTTAAATTAAATTAAACATTATATACAGTATTAAATATTTAAAAAAATTAATTAAAAAGTTTTTAAAAAGGATTTAATCATTTATCGAAGGTGTATTGTAATGCACTTCATAAAATCAGGTATAATATAAAATTAAAGCAATAGATTTTTATGTAATTAGGATTAGTATTAGATAAGGTTAAGATAGATATAAAAAATGAACTTATAGTAAAATCATACAAGAAATTTTTTTTGTTAGGACCTAAAAAGTAGTTGTATATGTGAAATTTTGAGTTATAATAATTTTTGGCAAAACGAATGCTTGTTTTGAATTTTTCTGATCATGTAACATTATACTTAATCTTATGTTAATTAGAGGTGCATTACAACATATATACATTAAATTATATAACCCTTTTAAAAAATATAAATAAATTACTTCAATAATCTTTTTTTTTAGTTTTAAGATAAGACCTTGCTTGTATTTTTATTAATAATTTTAGAACAGTTACAATATAGATTGCTACAATACAGTTTACTGAAATAAATTATTATATAAAAATTTATAAAGCTACTTTTATTTGTACTAGTATAAATAAAAATAAAAATTATATATAAGAATAAAAGCTTAGACAGAAAAAAATTTATTTGCAATCTAAATTTATTAGAATAATTAAAGATTCATCTAGATTACTATAGTTAGTATATAGTTTAAAGATATACTATACTTGGCTTAAAGTATAGACTAAGTATTAATTTTTCTAGTATGATCTACTAGTAAGCAGATTTTAATATATAAATATAATTGGTTTGATTGTTTATATTATATAAACAAGTGTATATATATACTAGAAACTGGAAACCAGTATGAGTCTGGAGTAGAGTTCAGAGCATGAGAAAAAAATTGGACATGCTTATATAGACATGCCCCTAAGCTAAAACCCTCTCATGCTCATGGACATGCTCTTTTTAAATTATATAATTAACATATAGTTTACAACTTCTTAAAAATCTCACCTATTAAGTTAATATCTACAGTTCTAGTTTTACCAGAACTTATTAGCCAATTAAAATAGCTTTGATCATTACATGACAAGGGCATGCTCTTTGGACTTGAGGCATGCCCTAGAGGCATGTCCTTAGGGGATACTCCTATGCTCTGAACTCTAGTCTGAAGTATAAGTATCAAAATTTTGACTTTACTATATAAAAACAAAAGTGGTAAACAGAAAATACCAAAACTACTTTTTGATATTTTTAATATAAATGTATCAAAAAAGAAATTTTGGTTATCAAAGAATATAGAAGTATAAGTTTTCTGCTTCGCTCCAAACAATTATATACTTATGATTAGTATTTATAGATTGTTGATTTAAATTTGAATCATTAAGATTTAGATTATTAAAATATTAAGTAGAGTTAGAATTATTGCTATATGAGTAAGTTAGATGTTATTGTTTTTCAGTTAATAAAGTTTGTACAGTAAAGTTTTCATAATTGTTTATATACTTGTTCATTGATTTTAAGCAGTATATTAATTATAGATTTAATAC